ACTCTCTTTTCCCTCAAGAAGATGAATTGGAAGTGGAGAAGAAGTCGTGGAAGAAAATTTGTAGGAAAATGAAAGAGAATTGGGAAGAAAGCTTAGCAAACCTCTAAGCCCCTTCTTCTTGCTCCCAGAGCTTTCAAAAGACTCTCATCTGCTTCCCCCAAAATGAAAAGCCTGTTCTCACGATACCTGTTGTTTTCCCCTATCCAACCCATCTCTTCTGTAATGTCTGCAAAACAATAGCTGCCTAGTCGCTTCTCCAATGGTCTCCCATAAATAAATGGAAATAATTTTTTCTCCACTAGTTTGCTTCCATAAATGGCAAAAGAAACGACAAAAGGAGCCATTATCCCCCAGTTAAGGCTCAGTTATCCCCTCCATTTTTGGCTTAATACAGAAATTTTTCCCAACAAATTTAGTTGGGTGCACATGCATCCAACTTTCTATTTTGGGTCGTTATCTATGTCGCACCCCCTCTACCGTCTTGCACGATCTCAGCAGATCTTGGCGCCTAAACGCCAATTAGCCGCCCCCTCTTTTCTCATGCGAGCAAAGGTGACGTCTGACAAGGCTTAAAATGTGTTATTTTTATATATACATTTTATGCTCATTTTTAAAGATATTACGCTTTAATGTAAGGTATTTTGTGAGTTTTTTTTATTTCAGTTACAAGAGATGAAATTTAAGAGCAAAAAATGAAGAAAATATGGTCAATTAGAGTAGAGTAAATAGTGACCTGACGCCTAAGCATCGGGTAGTTAAAACAGGTTTCCAGAAGGTTGGCGCTTAGGCGCCAGAAATGTTTTTGATTTTTGTGTATTGAATTTGGATGAATTTTGAAGAAGTGCTTGAAGTGACCCTCAGTGGTTTTAAGAGCTTTATATAAAGGGAGCATTGGCTTGTCAAAAAGAGGGAGAGAGAAGTAGTAGGTGTGGGTGTGTGTGTGTGTGGTGTGAGAGTGTGTGAGAGAGTGTGTTGGTGAGAGTCTTTCTAGTGTTTGTATTAGTGTGTCTTGGAGTAAGAAGTTATCAAAGGAACTTCAAAAGATTTGCTTTTGGAGAAGTTTCAAATAAGTACTTTGTATTTTTGTTTGAGTTTTGTTTTACTGTGTAAACTTAATGTTAATATAAACCATATTTTATTGTGTTATCCCCATGAAGTCTAAGTAGTTTCTTTTATGTTTCTTCTTGCAATAAGAATAATCATGTATAAGATTAGAATTTTTTTAAAATTTCTCTTATTCCATACTTATGATGATTCATTACTTCGTACTTAATTTACATCTTCAATCTGGTCAATTGGATTGTTAAAATTTGTTGTGAATCCATAATGACCCAGGAGGGCTATGTGTTCCTCAACTAGTAAAAATTACATTAATCTAGTGGATGAGAAGGTAGCTCATTAGTTAGTGCAAACAAAAAGAGAGATAAGTTTTTATGGGTGTAAATTGGTGATTCTAGGGTGACAAACTAGAACATTAATCAATTTGATCTAGAGTTTGGAACTTAAGGCTAGGTTATTCCATAATAATTGTCGTAGTGGGTAATCTGAATGTGACAGGCTAGAACTTACCCATCATAATCTATTTGGAACAAAACTATATTTAAACCTTTAGACATTTGATTCATACACTGATTATGATCTCTTTGCAAGGGAAAAGAACTTTTGCATAATTTGAACTTTTTTACGTAAAACTAGTTTATAAATATTGTATTTTCTTTAAGCTTTGAAATAGCATTAGTATGAATTTAGTAAATTTTTTTTACACATAAACTTGACACCATATTTCCTAGATAATTGTATGGAGCTAAAGTAAAGTTTTACTAAGTCCATAAAAAGAGCTTCACCTTCCCTATGGGATCGATACTGGGGTTTTAAAAGAAAATCATACATTAATGGAAACGATACGTATACTTGTGTAGCACCTATAGTGTGTAAACTATTAATCAAATTCTAAATTCTATAATATATCCATTTTTCACACAAGTCGCTAAAATAAATTGGGTCAAGTTTTTTGCCATCTTTTTGAAAACTAAAGTACTACGTAATTGTAGGTCAGGTCAACGCCTCATTGTGTTGGTCACCTATGTCCACAAAGGAGGGTGCATATGCGCTCCTCAGCTGATTTCAGCGCTCAATGGTGCTTATAGGCCCCTTTGCACCCATTGGGTGGCGCACCCCCCTAATAAAATTATTTTTCCCTCATTGAGGGTTGATGCGTTGCGCGGAGGATTCCTATGGACCCTCGAACCACCGGAGGACATCCAAGAATGAAAATAAGCTTGCCAATGTTGGGGTGGAAATTACGGATGGGCTATATCAAACAAAAATAGCTGGCTGGGGTCGAGTACGACCCGAACGGTCCAAGTCCCAATTTTATGTCCATATGTCCGTTAAATGATTTTACTGATTAGGAAGCTACGAGAGACCACGTATAGCTAGAATATGACCTTGTAACTTTGAAATGAACATTCTAGAGGTTTCAAATCAGAGATTTCAGTGCCTACGGGCATGACCCCCTACACGGGTGGATCGATCTGAACTCTAATTTTTTTGAAACGCATGTGGGAGAGTTTTGTGACAGCCCTTGTCCACAATAGGTTCCAAATAGACGAAGCATAGTCATTAAGCACTAAAATGGACATTAAATATGTTCGGTGTAGGAATTATCATCACCCAATGGTGAGTTTTTCCAGGTAGGGTTAAATTGATACTGATTCTGGTTCAGTGCTTCAGACACGTACCAGAGAGGCCGAAAAAATGTTTTGGATTACAGTCCCTTGGCATTCATATGACTTCAAAAGTGATGCCAACTTGATTCTCTCTATTAGTACAATTTTTTGCTAGAGTTTTACCCTCCACCTCTATATAATAAGTGAGATAGTGGAGTGATGCGCAGGATTCATGAATCAAAGTTGAAGGAAAAGGTTCTTCTCAACTATTTGAAAAAGACAATTATAAGATGAAGCAAGAAAGAAAGAGATGAGTAAAAGATGAACTCCAAAAAAGTCTGCTTGCAGTTGATATTTATAGATGTTCATAGTGTTAATATGTATGGAGAAGCGACATAAAGTAATTCTGATAAAATATAAGCTTACATGAATACAAAAATATATCCACTTGCTCCTTAAAATCTATTAAAAAAGATAACTGAATCAAAACATAAAATGTTCATCTTGAACTTTCTTGAATAAGGGCTCGTTTGGGGCAGCTTATTAGGGTGAGGTGACGTTTTGAAAACCTCGCCATTGTGTTTGAAAAGTACGTTTGCTCGACGTTTTGGTGCCGCTCTGATACGCACGTCCTAAATTTCAAATAGGCTTTGGACGAGGGATAGCCCCCCGTGTCCTGCGTCCGTGACTCGCATTTAGGGCAAAATTTCCTCCCGTGCTCTTCTCTGCTCTCCCTTACCCTCTCCCTCCCTGATCTTCACCCTCGCGAAGATCGACTTGCTTGCCAGATCTAATTCCTCTGGTGAGATCTGATGTGTTTCTTAGATGCTATGCGAGTTTATTTTGACTATTTTGGTTCGATTTCCATGTGTGAGAACTGTTTTTTCTTTCACAAAATTTGGCAATTTTCTGTTGATGATAGAATTAGGGTTTTCTTGTTGATGATGTTAGGTAGATTATTTGGAATGTATTGTGGAATTGTACTAATTACTAGGTAGAGTTGGACTTGCTCTATGGAATGCATTATGGAATTGTACTAATTGAAATGGACTTGCTCCTGCAGTTCTGTTGCAAACAGCTTCACTAAACAGGGGCAGAATAATCATTTATCCAGTAACAACAACAAATAAACTGTTCTACACAAAATCCCCCAAACAACAAACCAGCTTGTCCTTATAATCTGCAGATTATCATATTATATTATCATGATAATATGCTTGTCATATAATCTGCAGCTGCTCCAAACAGACCCTAAATGTAATTATATTTAGTCTACCGAGACGCACTAAACACACCAAAGTGGATTTGCTAGAACTCTTCAAAGCAAGCATAATTGACCTAAGGCCTAATAGAAGAAGTCACCATAGATATCGTACACTACCCTACAAAATCAAATCACCCCAAGCTCTCCATTAATGTGTTCTCAACAAGTCAAGATATTGACAGTAGAATAATCCCAAATATTTGGCAAAACTACCGGCCGTAATACAACTAAACCAAGATGAAGCCAGTGGGGGATTTCATGCAAGTCCACTTTGCATCTGAAAATTACTAGCGTGCATCTATAATAACTAAAGTGTGACAACCAATAACTCTTCGTTTATGATAGATTTTTATTCGAACACTTATGTCATGCAACTAAGACAGTAAAATTTAGATATCAGATGAAATTCAACCTCAACAATTTTAATTTGTTTAGAGTAGGGCCAAGTATAAGAGTCCGAGCAACAAAAGCACAGTTTTGCCTTTTTTGCCTGTTAATATGCTCAACAACCGTTAATATGTTTAATAAGGCTCGATTACTTAAAGAGTCAAGCTTGAATCAAATTCGAACCATAATTTAAAATGGAATCAACTTGGACAACGCTACAAATACACAATCAAGCTTGAGTTGAAACAGTATCTTGGCAAGCAAGCTCAACATGGAGTAAGAACTTAACTAACCTGACTCAGTATGCATTTTATCGATCCTTCAGTGTGCTGCGATAGAATGTTAATATGATCTTGACGAACAAAAAGTTTTCTAATGTGCTCGTTAGGATCAATTGTCTTGGCAAGGGTACTGAGAAAATAAAAGAAAACACAGGTTTCATCGATTAGAACTGCAGAATCATAACTTTCGAACCTAACTTTTACCCCATGGCATCCTCTACTAATAGCATACACTTTAAATGACATACCACAAGACAGTAAATTTTGGCAGAATCAGAAATTTCAGCTTTGACAGCAGAATTCCATCCACTCCATGCTCATCAAAACACCAAGTTCAAATCAGCTTGTATGTCACCTTCAGATAATTTTTGGCTCTTACATATGTTAAAAAAAAAGGGATGAAAAAAACCATGTCCGTTCATAGTCAGAAATGAAATTCTTAACATAAAATCCAAGTTACATTAAAAAACAAAGGGACTGTCCAAGCTCAGAAAAAAGATAGGTAAATGAAGCACAAATATATAGACCACGGCTAACCCCGACGGTTGTGATGTCTATCCACTAGCGAATGAACAAACTTAACATGGACATAGCAAACATGCTACAAAAAGCCAGATTACTGAGCGTACTTGCTCTTGCCCTGTGTGGCTAACTTAGCGCTTACCTGCTCTTCAGTCAAAGGTAGGTAATAGATCCTAGGAGTTGCTCTGGTCTTCTTGAAAAGATCATCTAGGGTAACCACAGGTGGCTCAGGTTTCTTCGGAGGAGGGGGAGGGAGTCGCTGCTCTCTCGCAACAGGCGGGGGGTTAGATAGGCTGGGAGGCGGGGGCAGCGGAGGGTGAATGAGTGGAGGTGGAGGAGGGAGCGGCTGCTGCCTGAGGCTTTGCTGATGAGTTGGTTGAGGGGCTTGGGATTTCTGATGGGGAGGAGGGGCCTTTGGTGTTGCAGGTGTGGGGCTAATTGGTACTGGAGATAGTGGAGGAACCTCCAATCGTGACTTCACTTCTTGAGGATCAACAAACTCCGCCGCAAGAAGACGTCCACCATTTGGGGGCCACTGGAGATTGTAAACTGCATTTCTGGTTTCTGTGGCCTCTTCGGCCGATGAATACTGCAGAAAAGAAAATAAGCGTGAGTGATTCAGAAACAGACGCCTTTACAAAGCCTGTCCAGGAAGAATATGCCAAGCAGGTTCAAATTTCCTCTTCTCTCGAAGAAATCACAGTTCAATTAAAGAATTTTGCGGTAATAAGCAAGCCATTGATAGTTGGCCAACAAACTACCGCCAACTCAGGTAGTCTTTGGCGCACATTCATCTATAGCATCAGCACAGATATCAGTGCAAACCACAAGAATTTATGCCGTGCTTTGGCCCCAAAAAACAAAGAAGAGCCCCCGGCATAAAAGCTAAGAGGCCTTTGGATAGGGCTGTCAAAACGGCTCGTTGTTCGCGAACAGCTCGTGTTCGGCT